ACGTACAAAGGGCAGCGTTTTTAAGACAAGAACAGTTGAAACTTTCACAATTTTTCGTGATAGTGAGAATATTACTTCTTGTAATTTAATTTTTTCGTTAAATGATCAAGCGACAATTAGTGATGGGCAATTTGTGGATTTCTTCAAGGATGCGCATTACGCGAGTGATATGTGTAGGAAGGATGATAAGCCGAAATTAATGCTATACCATACCGATCAGCTATAATTCCCTAACCCTAATGCTACGTATGGGCGAAAATTTTTGATGGGAACATTGCGGCGAATTTATGAAATACCCCCAAAATTTGAAAATTTTGACCACTAAGTAAACAATAATGATTTTTGACTGAAATAACTACTATTCCCGGGTGAAAGTGCGTCATTGTAATAAATTTCTATGTCTAATAAGATACGTCAAAGTGGGAAGATGGGTTAGACGCGTTATCAATCAAGATTAGGGTCTAAAAAACTTTTTGGGTTTAACATTGATTTATTAACATGTAATTTGGTAACTAAAATCTTAAAATTGGGGACCAAATACTCAGATTTAGGACCGAATTTTAGATTAATTTTATAAATTCGCCGTTATGATATTGTGATCATTAAAATTAAGGGATACAATAGAATTATATAACCACTCTGAATAATAAAAATATATTGCGCAGTGTTACTATATAAAAATATTAATAAGCAAATATTCAAGTTAACTAATTAAATACAATCAAAATGATGGTGGTTTCATAAGCAATTTATAACTCAAACCGACCTTACAATTCATACAATTCAATTTTATTATATTGTTAATATTTAATATCGGCAATTTCGCAACATCACATATCTACCCATACGAATATATATATATAAACACCGGATCAGTATAGTACAGATTCTAAAATTCGGCCTGTACTATACAGATCTTCTCACACCCATACCATACCGATTTGCGAAACTCCTATTTAAAATGTAATCTTTCTAGAAATAACTTTCAGAAATCACACCATAACCGTTCTCAATATCTAGATGGTGTTTAAAATGGAGTAAGCCGACATGTATCTCTAGATTTAGAAACAAATGATTATCCATAAAAATAAACTTATACATTTATATATTTTAGAAAAATTACTTTAATTATATTTAAAATTTTAAATTTACAATACAGAAATTTTATTTACACTATGATAAAATACACCTATGATGTTTTGGTATTTATCATATATTTTTGTTATATTTTATAGTTTCTTTTTCAATTATTATAAACGCACCTATGGTGTTTGCACCTATTATATGTTTTTATTAATTTTTTTGTTTTTATAAGTTTTTATATAAAAAATTGGCTGAACTATAGTATAGGTGGGCAGCATTATACCAATTTTTGGCCGGCATTATCAAAGGGGACCCGTGTGCGTATATTATTTATGTAAGTTACACAGCTCACCCCCAAAAAATTTCCCTGTCACGTGACGATCATGCGGCATCGGTTTGGCACGCATTCAGGAATTACGTACAATATTTACAATGACACCAGTTTAAATACAAATTAATC